CCCCATCACTGCAAACAAAGGTCCACTACCCTCCCCAAACTCCCAAAGAGCCCCATCCTGAGAAGGTCTGAACCTCAAAAACCAAGGCTGACACCAGCTGTTAAAACACCTATTCGGGTATTTATTACAACACGTTGTTCCAAAATACAAAAGAAAGGAAAAGAAAGTAGAGGGTAGAAAAGCACTGCTGTTTACAGCCTCTGGTAATAAATAAATAAAGACGAGGCAGGGGCAGGGTGTCTCCCCGGGTCCGACGCTGGCACTGGCCAAATGGACAGCGAGGAAGGGAGTGTGGTGGGGCTGGAGGCCAGAGCCTCTCTTCCATGCTTGGGAGTCCCCAGGTACACCAGGGTGGGTACAGACCCCCTCTCTGTGTTGTGCTTGCTGAGGAAGGGTCTGATCCTACAGGGATGAGGAAGGGAGAAGAGGGTCAGTCCCGGCATGGTCGGAACCTGCCTGCTCCCTCCCTGTCCACGGCTGCTCCAAAGGCAGGTGAGGTAGGAAGGGTGATGCTGGACTGGGACCCCAACAGACATTCTACCAGGGTTCCCCAAGAGAGGGGTGAGACCTGAGCTCTCTCCTCTCCAGTGTGGTCTCAGAGCAACCTTGGAAATGTGTTCAGCACAGCATGATGAGAAGGATCCCAACCCATGACAAAGCAAAGTCATGACAGAGACAAGAAACTGTGCCTGGGCCACTTGGAGAAGGGCAGTGTTAAACCCTGCAAATTAAAATGACTCTTCATGGGGCTGGCACAGTACAGGGAGTGTTTTGTACCACAGTGCAGATGGGGGTCCTCTTCCCTTCCCCTAATGTCTCCTCCTACACCTTACAGTCATCTGGAAAGCTCCAGGTTGTACCAGGAGCACAGGCAATGGGTGCAAAAAACCAGCACCAGCCTCTCATGACCTGCTCATGACACCACAATTTATCAGTGTTTGATAAAGACCACACCAAGTCCCATGCTGGGAGCTATTCCCAGCCTGTCTAAATCCCTCCAGGTACCGGAGGCATCTCACGTCTCCCTGTGGCTCTGCCACTGGGCTTGCTCTAGCACTGTCCATGTGTCTTCCCCAGGCTGTGCTTCTCCTGGGCAGGGGAACCACCAGCATGAGGAGGACACTCAAGCCCAGGAAGCCCAGGGCATGTGGCTAAAGCAGCAGCCAATGTCCCGGGCTCAGCTGAGCAGGGCAGCTTTGCAAAGCAGCTATGATGCCAGAGCAAGAAGCCCCTGTGGGTGAAGATGCAGCCTGCAGCTGCAGCCAGCTGAAGAAGGTGAGAGGACCATCACCTGGAGGGAGCTGATTCCATGAACTGGAATGCCTGGCCAATGCTCCTTAAAGCTTTAAGCTTTTGCCATTTTTAATGCTCTGATGTTGGTGCCAGTAGGTTCCTGCCTCTTGCAAAGATGAGCAGGAACCTGTATGGGGGAGAGGAGCTGCAGGAAGGGAAGGGAAGGGAAGAGTTAAGAGAATGGATCTGCCCCGGGTTTGGGTGCCTTTATATCCTTAGGAAGCACCTCCCTCCAGCTCCTCTGACGAGGGTTTGCCTCCTGAGGCTTGGGGCAGCCAGGAGCTGTGCCGAGTCAGCCACAGCCGGGCTGCGGGGAGCAGAGAGAAGGTGAGATGGGGCCTTGCTTTTATTCACAACAGAGAAACAAAGAGCAACATACAAAGAGTAAGAAGCAAAAAAGTACAGAATCATAACCATAATAATTATAATAATAATCATAAATACTCAAATCTATCATTCATAGATTGCAATGACAACACTGATAGCTTATTATCATTAGTATTAAGAATGGGAGGGGAAAGGGGACAGCAGGAAGGGTTTCTGAGGGGCATTGTCTCCTAAGGGGCAGATGTCAGGGGGATGGACATCCAAAGAAACAAGCAGACAAACAGAAGGGCTGGGAAAGCAGCAGGGTCTGGGGATGCTGCTGCTGAGGCCAGGGACGAGCCTGCTCTGACCCAAGCCTCTGGCTCAGTGTTGCCAACCTGATCACTGCCCTCCTGCCAGCTTTGCTCAGCTGGGACAGACGTGGCCGGGAGGCTCAGCCCTGAGGACAGGCAGAGGCTGGAGGGAAAGGAGCAAAATGTCCTTCCCAGTTCGAAGGAGAGCTGTGATTTGCTCAGTGGAAAGTGCAGGCATTGCCACTGCCATCGGCCACTCAGCAGCTTTGTTGGTTCCTCCCTTGAAAGAAGAGACCTTTCCTCTCCTGTGCTCACACTTCTGCCTCTGTAGGTCCGTACAAATGAATGCACCCTCATCAGACTGGCTTGGAAAGGTGATTTTTGGTTCCAGTGAGGCTTTGGGAAGGGTCAGCTGGCTGTGAGAGCCCACAAAAAAGACTTGGCTGACAGATGATGTGGAGGATTACCACCCGGCACATCCTTCCTCATGACAATTCACAGCTCTCTGACTCATGGCCAAAGTGGTTCATTAGACAGAGTTTGATTAAAAAAAAAAAAAAATTGCAAGCCACTTGGTGACCCTGAAGGTTTTGGGTCAGGATGGGCAGGAAACACTTGGGCAGGGCTGCTCCATCAAGGCTTATTTTCTGGATATAGACTTAAAATATTGTATATATGAGGGTTTCTGATGCACATGCCCAATGTATAGGAGAGGGATGAATGCAAAGGCTGCAGAGGTGGGTCAGGAATATCTGTGATCTACAAATCTTAAAATATACTTATCTTTGTTCTGGTTTCAGAGAAGAGAGGAGTCCACAGTGTGTAAAACCTCAAACAAGTCTCAGAAGTATCCAGGTGGTGGCAGAGTGTAGATGACAAAAAGCTAACCACTGCCTCTTCGCAGACATTCAGGATCTCATTTACAACATGCGTCCTCTCCTTCCTGACTTCAGGTCAGCAGCCCAATCTGCTTTTTTGTGCTTGCAACACACTGTGTCACTTAACAGGAGGAATTAGATGGGAGCTTGCTAGTGCTTTGTCTCATCTCCCCACCTGGTTTTGGCCACCTGTTGTCCCTTCTATTACATCCCTTGGGAAGCCATTTAAGCCTCTCTCCATTGCTCAAAGCTACACCAGCTCCTGCCAGCAACTTGCCTGACCTGAGCTCAGTAAGTCCATGCTGGCACCAACCCTGGAGGACTATGGGATGGGCAGGGACTGAGTGTTACTGGGCAGAGATCAGCAGACAATCACCACTGGCATGCTTGGGAAGAGATTCCACCACTGAGGTCAGCAGAAGGGGAAGGAGGACCAGACTCCTTGGACAGGAGGCAGGTGACAGTAACACTCTGCCCAGTGAGAAGGCACCAGAGGAAGGATGAAGCCTTTTTCTTCTCCCTCCATGGACTTGATATTGATGCCTACTTAGGACAGCCTGCTGCAAGTGGAGCTCCTGAAATAGCTGCCTGGCTCATGGGTTGGACCTAAATGCCTTCTGGAGTCCAGAAAGGGAGCTTAGCAAATAGTGTCATCACTGCTTCATGATGAGAAGAGAGCAATGTTCAGGTTGGCAACACTGAGCAGGTGTGAGGTGGTTGCTGGAGGCAATGATAGGTGGTGGTAGGCTTTTCAGGACTGACTATGAGATCTCTCACTCTTATCAAATGTGATGTGGGGAGAAGAGCAGAAGAGCAGGTGGTCCCTGGCTCTCCATCCACCCCCATCCCTCCCTGCCACACCAGGAACATGTGGGGGTCCCCAGCATCTCACCAAATAGCTCTGTGGAAAACCAGAAAAACTAAAGCCGGAAGAGAGCAAGGAGTCTCCAAGGAGACTTGCCTCAACTGCAAACACAGAGGTGGCTGAGGAAGCAACGAGCTGAAGCGAGCAGCCCCTCCTCGTGTGATTGCAGCTCCTCACGCCTCTGCTTTATGTTCAGTTTTAAACCTGAGATCATTTGGTTTTGTCACGGGTAGTTTGATTTAAAGATAGAAACGAATGACAAGAGGAGGAACAAGGGAAAGGGAGAGAAACCATGTGGACCCAGAAAAGAAAAAAAGAAACAACACTCCAAGGATGACACAGGACACAGACATGCACAGAACACAGACCCCTGAGGTATCAGCTTTGCAAACTAGTGCGAGACAAGGGAGAAAGCAAAGAGAGCTGCAGGGAGAGATGTGCTTTGCAGGGGAGGCAGCTCAGTGCCTCCAGCTTCAGAAAGCAGCTTCTCAGCAATCCTGACATTGGGGTTTGGGGGCAAAGGTTTGGCTTCCCACCAGATGGGAGGAAGCAGCCAACCATCTCCAGAAATAAGTCACTTGTGCCCCTCCATGTGCTTGCAGAGCTTCATGTCTGGACAGCTTATCATCCACTGGATGGAGGGGAGGTGGCCTGGAGGGCAGCAGGACCGGGAGAGTCCCGGCACCTGCAAACATGCTCCGCCTGAGCTTCTTGGATGTGAAACAAAGGATGTGGGAAGCCAGAAGAACCGCTGCCCCCAAAGGGAGAGTGCTGCCCATACTTCCCAAGCAAGGTAGCTGAGGTGAGGAGGAGCTGAAGGGCTGGGGCAGGCAGGCAAGACACCTCCCAACAAGAAATCCCAACTACCACCAGCCTCGTGTCCCTCCCTCTGCTGAGGCAGCTTCCGACACCTTCCCCATGCAGCTGGAGGGTGACATCCCGCAGCCTTCCATCCACTTTAGGTGACTCCCACCTTTCCCCCTCCAGCAAGGATGGGCAGCCAAAAGGAGGGGAGAGGAGGAGAGGGGGTATGACTAGGATTGGGTGATGGCCAGGATGGGGACAATGCCTAGGATGGGATGATGGCTGGGATGGTGGTAATGGCTGGGATGGAGATGAGGAGAAACAAATAGAGACCAAGGTGGGAAGAAGAGGCAGCAGCTTCTAGAAGAGTTTTCTGGCTCAGTTTGTGTCATAAGAAGGTTTTATGGTTTGCTTGTTTACTTGTTCATTTCTAGAAAAGGTGCCCAGAAGAGTCTCCTGTCCCCTTGTTGATATGCCCAGAGAGAAGGGGGGAAATCTATGTTGTGGACATTAACTATAGAAGGAGCCACAGGCCTCAGGTATTGCTTAGAAACTCGTATTTCAGATTTAAATACCATACACAGTAAAAATAGAGCTGAAAGTACCGCCCCACATTGTCTGCAAATCATTGCCAGAATGAACAGCTTCAATAAATTAAAAACAAAACAAAAAAATTGAAATATTATTTACGTCTCAATAAAAATTGCAGTAAAACCATTTACCTTTTCTTTCGTGTGTGTGTTTTCGGGTTTTTTTCTTTATATTATATATAATATATATTTATATATGTATAGGGCTGCTTCAGTGCAGCATTTTTAGGATACTTAGCCAGAGAAACACAGCGGAGCATGCTTAGTGCACCAGGGTGCAGGGAAGGGGCAGCTGTGGTCCCCCCTCCAGGTGCTGTGCCCCATCACCACAGCCGAAATTGCAATCCCTGCCACTTCCCCAACTCTTCCCACTTGAGTTTTAGGCCCAAATTTTGTGTGTGGGTCTCTGAGGGCTGGGGCGCCCCGGGGATGGGCGGGGAAGGACCAGGGTGAGTGCAGGAGGGACACTAAGCATCCGCCACATGTTTCCCGACTCTGGAAAGACTCGTCCACCTTCGCTTCGGTTTCAGCGCTTGCGCTCCCGAAAACGCACGCGCAAGTATAAATACACCCCCCGACCCCACCGCCCCCCTTCCCGCAGCTTAAATATCCCCCCGCCCCAGCCCCGTCCCAGGTCTCCAGGCACCCCAGGTGAGTGTCAGGACACCTCGATGATCTCCATGCTGCCTGAAAAGCTGGACTGTTTGCTGATTTTGCCCAGCTCTTCCCGAGCCCTGCCCTCGGACATGGTCTCCTCGAATTCCATCTGGCAGCTCCTTCGCTTGAATTGCTTCTCAGCACCGGCCTCCTCGTGCCAGCTGTGCCGCCCGTCCCGTGGCTCGGCCCGTGCCTTGTCCCTCAGTCTGATCTCGCATCCAGCCGCCGCCGCGCCGCAGCCGAACGGCGGCGGGTACGGGCCGGCGCTGGGAAACAGGCCCCCGCCGCCGCCGCCGGTGCTGCCGGAGTCCTTGCCGAAGTACCAGCCAGCCTCGCCCGAGGCAGCGCCGGGGGACTCCAGGTGCACCCCGCTCCAGGCAGCGGTGGTGGCGCCGGGCGCGGAGGGCGGCTGGCTGAGCCGCGGCGGCAGCCCGTCCTCGGCGCCGGGGCTCTTGCGTGTGGCGCAGGTCCCGCCGACGTTGAGGCTGAGCCCGTGGGCCGGCGAGCCCGCGGCGTGCCGGTGCTTCCGCCGCTGCCTCACCTTGGCCTCCAGCAGCAGCTCGGGCCCCGTGGGCCGGTCGGGGCTGTCCGCCCCCGGGGAGAAGGGGCTGAGGCTGCCCGAGCCCGAGGGGCTGTCCAGCTTGCAGAGTTTGGGGGCTTCCCCAGGTCCAGGGGGCCCAGGGGGGTCCTGCCGCAGGCCGGGGGAGTAGGCAGACTTGATGTCCAGGGAGAAGGAGCGCTTCAGGCGGTTGGTGTCCTGGATGCGCTCGGAGGAGAGGTGCAGGCCATTGAGCCCCTGCTGCAGGGTGGTGGGTGACAGGACCTTTGGGGTCCCGCCCTGCCGCTCGAGGTCACTGGTGGGGGATGCCGAGCCGCTGCTCCTCGGCACATCCTCGGCCTTCTCTGAGGTAGGTGTTAGGGGATGCCGGCTGCTCTCAGCCACCTCTGCTGGGTCCTGCTGCGCGTCCCCCTCGCTCCAGTCGCCCTTTGACTTCAGGGCCTTGAGGAGCTTCAGGCTCCTCTCGTACTCCAGGAGCTGACCCAGGAAGTTGAAGTTGGGCGAGATGGATGGGCGACGGTCCTTAACAAACCTGCCGGGAGGCACAGACAGCCCCGTTGGTGCTTGGTCCTTCAGTAGGCCACCCCTACTCTCTCAGCCTCTTTAGGGAGAAGAGGCATCATCAAGAACCTTCTGACCAGACCCTCCAAAGAAAAGGATCTTGGGGAACCATGGGGCCTTGAGATGCCTGAGAATTAGAGCTGAGACTGCCTCCCCACTCCCTACCATTCCTTGTTGCATGCATTTTATGATGGAGGGTTTGGTTTGGTTTTACTGGGACCCAGCCAAGGCAAGAGAGAGCTTCAAGGAGCCCTGACCCTCTCCTTCTGGGCTCAGCCTGCTTCCCTTCCCTGGAATGAAGCACACTGGCATAACCCCCCCGGTACCCTCAGGGGAAAACTCACCTGTAAGCATCATCTGATGACATACCCATGGTCTTCATGATGTAGGCGATGGCAATGGTGGCTGACCGGGAGATCCCAGCCAAGCAGTGCACAATCACCTGGCAGCTGGACACTTTCGCTTTGTCTGGAGCATGGCAGAAGAAACAGAGAGAACAATGATGGTGAGCAAAATGGTTCCAGCCTCCCTCCCCAAACCCCAGCCCCTTTGTGTGAGAGGGACAACAGCTGCGAGCAAGACCAGGGAGGACAGAAGAGTTCAGGTTGTGAAGGCTGAGGACTGGAGAGTCTGCAACCATAAGAAAAGCTCACCAATGAACTCAATGGACTTGTCCAGCCAGGGAAGCAGCTTCTCACAGTAGTTGTCATTGACAGGAATGCGCATGAAGTGACTATCACAGATGAAATCTGGCTTGGGACAGGAGTTGCTGGCATTTAGGACATAGCTTATCCCATTCTGTGTCATCAGGTCCTGGTGGGAAAGAAGCCATCAAATGATCAGCTGAATTCAGCTCACAGCATGTACTGAAGGTCTCTTGCCATGCACACTCCCTGCCTTTTCCCATCCCAGCATTTTCTCCTGTGGGTCTCCTAGTGCTGCCTTGGTCTAGTTGATAATATGATGATAATACAGCAGAGACCAGCTGAAAAGGTCGTGTCAATTTAGATGACACAGGTTTGAACCTCAGCAGATCTTTATTTTGGTAAGTAAAGTGGGCAAGGCCAAAGACACCTGGAAAGGGGTTCCAGAGGGAAAAACCCAGCAACCGCAGTATGAGAGGAATAGGACAATACCAGAAAGAAAATTAGCAAAAACTCTGTCTGAACGCTGTGAAAGTATCAGCTGAGGGAGAAAGGAGACATCTCACTAACAGGATGGAGTGAGTCACTGGCAGCACCCTACGTTAACCAATGTGGCCAGAAGAAGCTCTATCCATAGGCAACAGAGTGAGGCCTTGCGTGGGCAGTGCTTCTCTTCTCCAGCACGTGGCCACATTGTGGGGATGGCAGAAAACACAGTTCCAAAACGTGAACAAAACCCTCCAAGGAAGTGGGGAGGGAAGGAAACCATTGATTTCCCTGCCTGGCATTGGTTCCTCAGGATTTTGGCCGCAGGATTTCAGCCCTAGGTCTCCAGTGGCCTGTTCCTGCCCTTTCAGCAGGGTTGATGGAGCCAGTCCAGCTCACAGGCTCACATTCTTGTAATCTTTTTCTTTCATTTCCTTCTACTCCCTGTACATAATTTCTCTCTCCCTCCCTTCTGTCTCCAACTCCAGTCTGGTGTCATGATCTGTCTCCCTCCTGGCCTGCCATGGATGAGGATGCCTGGCTGGCTCCCTCATGGCTGCAGCAGGCAGATGCTTGGCAGCACTTTAACTGCAATTCCTCTTTCTTTCTTCTCATCATTACTTTTCCTTTAAACAAAATTCCTTCCCTGGTGTGACATCACAGAACAGCCTTTCTGGCACCTTTTAAAGGGCACTGTGTGGTCTTCCCACTGGGAAGGAGAGAAATCCTTAATACCTTCACCCCTCTGCATGACTGGGGTCCCCAATGGTAGAGGGCAGACGTGTGCCCTCAAGAGGGCTGTACCTTGTTCAGGACATCCTTCTGGGAGCCCAGGTAGAGATGTGGCAGGATGCGCGTGGGGCCAACGTTGGCCACAGGCAGGCATGGCTGGGAGATGCTCATCGGCAGGATGGCAGCTGGCTTCCCCTCACAGAGCCCTGGGAAGCAGGATGAGAAGGTGGCAAAGCCTCCTGTGGAGAAAATGGGGACAGTGAGCTTGGAGCAGCATGGCCAAGGTCATCAGTAGCTGGGCACAAAGTGGTGATAACCCTGAAGCCCTGAGAACAGAACTTCCAGGAGCAACAAGCCAACAGTCACCACTAACCAGTGCACATACATTGTGATGGCCATGACACACACACACAGAGAAAGGAATGCAGAACCAGCCCCAACTTTTCCCTGTCACAGCTGGATATTAATGCACACGTGAGGCATCCCACACCCTCGCCAATGAAGCTGGCTCTTCTCAACTTCATTCAGACAAATAACAGGAAGAGACAGTCCTTTTCTTGGCTCCCTACTATTCTGAGGGCAGGGTCACATTTTGATACCAAAATCCATCAGGGCAGGATGACGACAAGCCAACCCCCTGAGATGCAAAGCTCCTGGGGTCTGAGAGGTCAGCCCAAACCTTGCTGCATTGGCTACACTTACACATCGTGATTTCTGAGAGATGCCTTCTCTGCCCAGCCCTGCCAAGCCCATGATTTCTGCCACATCATGGTGGCATAATGGTACTTGCAGGCCACTGCTGTTTTTCATGATCTGACCTTACTGAATGTGACAGCAAGCAGTGTCCAGTTTACTGCACCAAGCTGCTGGGCAGTCACACTCAGCTTGAGCATCTTGAAGCCCAGTGTTGAAAGAAAACCCCCAGCCGAGGTTGCAGTAGCTGGCATGTGACAGCCAGAGGTATAGTCACAGTGTCTGGCATGGTCAAAAGCCTGAGAGCCAGTCCTGAAAGCTTGAGCAGGGCTGCAAGTCTTGTCCAGCTTGCACAGAGGGCAGCAAGGAGAGCTGGAAAACCCCTGGTGCTGTTGCATGTCCTGCACAGTTGCATAAGACCACTGATCCTGATTTGCTCTCACTTGCTGATCCGGTACTCCAGGTCAAAGCCAGGTCTGGCTAGCAATAGCCTAATTCCACTTCTCTCCAGCTGAGGACATCTGATGGTGGCAGCTTCATGCAATGGAGAGGAGCTTGAGTCATATCTGCCTCAAGTCTCCCTTGAGGTTTTCCCAGTTATGCGAATGAGCAGATGCAGCTTGACATCACCCAAAGGGCAGAGAGGACTTGGGGGCTTGACTGCCTCTGACTACCAAAGGGACCATTATGTTCCCACGAGATCCTTTAGAAAGCCCAAGTCTCTGGACTGAGCACCCTGAGAATCCCTGGCCCATCTCCACAGCTGAACAAGACCTTTTAACGAGCCAGTCCCTCTCCCCTTTGGAAGCAGGGCAGCCTTGGCATACTCTCAATTTATGCTGCCTTCTCCAGCATTTTGGCAACATTTCTGCTGATCCTCCTGGAGCACCTTTCTGGCTGCTGGTGTGGCACCCACGCTCTAGAAAAGCATGACTGGTGCTGCAGACAAGCCATCTAACATGTCTGTGAGATGAAGGTGATGGAGAAGCCAAAGCAGTGCACAAAATCATGCTCACACTACTTGGGAACATCCAAGGTCCTCCATCACACTCCATCTCAGCATCTCCTGGTGTCAGCTCTCACTGACTTAAGGAGAAGGTGTCCTTCAACAAACCTCTTTCGTCCCCTCTGTTTTCTTGTCTGGCAGCTAACACACCTCCCAGCTTTAAAACCTAGTCAAGACAGGAGGGGTAGAGTTAAAGCACCTTATCTTTTCCAGCACTTCCTTTTCTCTTGCTCCCTCCGAAATGACATCACCCCTCAACTGGGACATTAAATCAGAGCAAAAGCAGGAGGCCCAGCACAGGTGCAGCATAGCTCTGGTTACTGCTCATGCCTGCACTGTGGCCCCATTGCCAAGGACTGTCCCTCACTAGCCAGAGCTCTGCATGGACACATGCAACCTCCCTGCTTTGCCCTGTGCTGATGCCTGGGGTATGCTGGGGCAGAAACCCTTGGGAAGTGTTTCCTTCACTTGCCTCTAGAGAAGCCTGCAGCACCTGAATTTGAGTGGGGCACAGATCTGACCCCAAGCTTGTGTGAAACATGGGATTTTTTCTGAAGGAACACAGCATGTTTTTGGGGAGCAGGGCGCACACAAACGCAGCCCCAAGGATCAGTGCCTGCTCTGGTCCATAGGTGTCCAGCCTCTTGTACTCACATTCACTGGGAGCTGCCCAGGGCAGTGGATGGGTTTGTATGGCTCTTTAAGATGATCTCATAGTTCAAGCAGGTCAGGGCATGCTGCTCTCTGCCCACTGCCTGTGTCCACCACACTCAGCTGGCAGCAGATCCTCTGCCAGTCCTGCTTGGGGAACTCCAGGCAGGTGCTAAGGGGGCTGTAAGGAGGGCAGGGATGTTTGGAAAGTGGCAGCAGCACCCTCAGCTGCAGAGCCTACCTGGGCAGGCTGCCACAACTGGAGGATGCTGACACCTGACATGATGCCCATAGCTCACCTCACTTGTCCTAAGCAAAGCCTCAACCCTGTTTCCGGGAGCCCGGGCATGCTCCAGCCCCCCTGTCCTCATCTTCCCCATACCTGCAGCTGCTGAGGGCAATCTGGGCTTGGGGGAAACCCTAAAGATGGGGCCAGGTACTTGACACCATCCCAACATGGAAGCGACGCTCACCCCACCCTGCAGCGGCTGCTCCAGCGTGCCTTTCATTTTTAGAAAGTGAAGCAGCTCTTCAAACAATCCCAAAGGCAGTGAATGTCCCTGGCTGGGCTCCAAGTGATACTTGGGCTTCCCTCCCCTCTATGCCCCAGGCCATGGATCTCAGGTTTTGCTGGGAGGGAGCAGCAGAGCACAATGAGGTGAGGAGCCAGGGTAGCACCAGTTCTGGCCTTTTCTCTTTTATTCACAATGCTGGTGCCAGGAGCACCATTTCTCTTGGCATGTGTGGAATTAAGCTCAGGAAGGATTTGTATCTGTCATGGAGTGGGTGTTTGGGGATCTCTGGTTTCTTCTGGATGCTCCCCTACCCTGGTGAGGGCTTGTTGGGGAGGAGCTGGTCCTTGTGTGGCGTGGCCCAGTGAGCTGCTCATGGTTCCAGCATGGAGGGTTCTTAAAACCATTCCCTGGAAAAAACACTGTCTGCCTGCCTACTGCAATTAACTGAGGCACAGATCATGCCCAGGAAGAGGAGTGGGAACTGGAAGGGAAGGGAACCAGAACAAAAATGGGGATGCTTTCACTGCTGCTGCTGAAAATGGAGGAAAGAGGAGCCAAGAACCAGCATCAGGCAGGTTCTAGGAGGCCTAGGGAGTGAAAATCACCCTCCTGCAAGTGAGAATCACACTGAGGCACAGGGTGCTGCAGCAACTTAGTGCCAGAAAAGTGCAACAACAGAGACCTTGTATCTCCCTCACCCAAGGTTTCACTCACAGGGTGCTGACCACCCTTCCACCTCCTGCTGTGTCCGGCAGAGACCCCTCTGGGCCAGCCCCCCAGCCCTGCTCTGCATGGCCCCTCTGTCAAACAGAGGAGAGGGGAAAACACCACAACTTCTCCCCTATGCCCATCTTTGCCAGGCCCTCCCCTCTGCGCATTTTCCAGCTGAACATCTATGATAACCACCCAGTGAAATTTGATTTATTGTGAGAACAGACACTGCAGAGGGAAGGCAAAGAGCCTGGGAATCTCCCCGAGCCTGTCCATCAGGCCAGGGGGAAGATGCCAGCAGCATCTTTGAGCAGGCTCCTGTGGTACCTGCACTGCTGCAACTGTTGGGAGCCATGTGACTCCTCCCCTCCAGCAGCAAACTGCACAGGGAGGAGGCCCTCTGCCAGGCCCTGCACCAGTGCCTGCCTGCCCGGAGACAGCTGCAACCAAAAGGAACAAAAACACACATGGAGGGAGATTGCAAGATGTAAGAACAGAGATGTTGCACTCCTGAGCTGGGACCCTCACAAAGCTGGGGGACCCTCCACTGCCCTGGCTGTCACCTGTCACCTTCAGGTGGTTTTTGGGGAAATCCTAGTCATAGCTGGGTCACTGACAACATCACAGGCAAAATCTGTCACCTGCGAGTTACACTGTGCCCTTCTCTGCCAAGGCTGGGCAGCAGTGGTGGTGCAGAGAAGGTGACATAGAGGGTGACAAAGTCCTGACTAGGGACAGGGATGTGGTGTGGCATTATTTTCTTCTGGTGGTAAGCCTTAGCTTTAGGGATTTACAATCCATTAAGCTGCATGAGATGCTAACAGAGACACTGCTGAGGATAAAAAGGTGTGGGACACATCAAGCATGGATATCCCAGCTCCCTGTTGTTCCCTGTGTCCCTCCCTGCACTGAGGCCATCTTTTTAGGCTGGAGGTGTAAGTAGAGCTGGGGCTTGAAAATCTTCTCACACCTTGCTCTGATGGCTGCACTCCGCACATTCATCTCCAGCCCCATGGACTCACCACCTCCTTCAGACGCCTCTGAAAAAACCCAACAGCTCTGGCCTTGATGCTGTGCCCCACTGACTGCAAGAAGCTGTGAAAGGGCCACCCAGGGCACCTGCCTGACACCAAAACTGCTCAAAAGAGCCACATGCCTCTTGAACAGCCCCATGAGTCTCACAGAATTTTCCTTAGAGACACACTGAGCAGCATGTCCTATTCAGCAGCCTCCCCTGTGCATTGCAGGCTCAAAGGTCCCCACCAAGAAACAGGGAAGAGGTGACATGTCACTCTGCTGTGGCATCAGTTTGTGGCAGCAAGGAGGAGGGGATCCAGAGCTGGAAATCCTCCCTGGGCCAGCAACTGCCACACCCCACTCCTCACCTCCAGCTCTCACACCAGAAGCTAGAAGGAGACCTGCAGGGGTATTAAAGATGTGTTTTACAGCCCATCCTCATGGCTGCAATAATGAGAGTTAGAGAGCAGCAGCCGGAGCTGTTCAGAGACCGGCTCCCCAAGCAGCTGCCGGAGGTTTTGTGGCAGCCCGCAGCCTCACCAATGAGTTTTGCGCCTGTGCTTTGCTGGAGACCCTCTGCCCCGCTAAAGCTCCTGGCAGCTGAGGGGGCTGAGAGCTCTGCCCAGCTCTCATTAAAATGCCTGTG